GGAATCCTCCCTAACTCATTTTATGAGGCCAGCATCATCCTGATACCAAAGCCTGGTAGAGACACAACAAAAAAGGAGAATTTTACACCAATATTCCTGATGAAAGGCAGTGCGAAAATCTTCAGTAAAATACTGGCAAACCAAATCCAGTAGCACATCAAAAAGCTCATCCACCACGATCAAGTCGGCTTCATCCCTAGGATGCAAGGCTGGTTCAACATACACAAATCGATAAACGTAATCCATCACATAAACAGAACCAATGACAAAAAACACACGATTATCTCAATAGATGCAGAAAAGGCCTTTGACAAAATTCAAAAGCCCTTCATGCTAAAAACTGTCAATAAACTAGGTATTGATGGAATGTATCTCAAAATAATAAGAGCTATTTATGACAGACCCACAGCCAATATCATACTGAATGGGCAAAAACTGGAAACATTCCCTTTGAAAACCGGCACAAGACAAGGATGCCCTCTCCCACCACTCCTATTCAACATAGTGTTGGAAGTTCTGGCCAGGGCAATCAGGCAAGGGAAAGAAATAAAGGGTATTCAATTAGGAAAAGAGGAAGTCAAGTTGTCCCTGTCTGCAGATGACATGATTGTATATTTAGAAAACCCTATCATCTCAGCCTAAAATCTCCTTAAGTTGATAAACAACTTCAGCAAAGTCTCAGGATAGAAAATCAATGCGGAAAAATCACAAGCATTCCTATACACCAGTAACAGACAAACAGAGAGCCAAATCATGATTGAACTCCCATTCACAAGTGGTACAAAGAGAATAAAATACTAGGAATCCAACTTACAAGGGATGTGAAGGACCTCTTCAAGGAGAACTACAAACCACTGCTCAATGAAATAAAAGAGGACACAAACAAATGGAAGAACATTCCATGCTCATGGATAGGAAGACTCAATAACGTGAAAATGACCATACTGCCCAAGGTAATGTGTGGATTCAATGCCATCCCCATCACGCTACCAATGACTTTCTTCACAGAATTGGGAAAAAAACTACTTTAAAGTTCATATGGAACCAAAAAAGAGCCCGCATAGCCGAGACAATCCTAAGCAAAAAGAACAAAACTGGAGGCATCACGCTGCCTGACTTCAAGCTATACCACAAGACTACAGTAACCAAAACAGCATAATACGGGTACCAAAACAGATATATAGATCAATGGAACAGAACAGAGGCCTCAGAAATAACACCACACATCTATAACCATCTGATCTTTGACAAACCTGACAAAAACAAGAAATGGGGAAAGGAATCCCTATTTAATAAACGGTGCTGGGAAAACTGGCTAGCCATATGTAGAAATCTGAAACTGGATCCCTTTCTTACGCCTTATACAAAAATTAATTTAAGATGGATTGAAGACTTAAATGTTAGACCTAAAACCATAAAAACCCTAGAAGAAAACCTAGGCATTCAGGACATAGGCATGGGCATAGGCATGGGCATAGGCATGGGCAAGGACTTCATGAATAAAACACCAAAAGCAATGGCAACAAAAGCCAAAATTGACAAATGGGATTTAATTAAACTACAGAGCTTCCACACGGCAAAAGAAACTACCATCAGAGTGAACAGGCAATCTACAGAATGGGAGAACATTTTTGCAATCTACCCATCTGAAAAAGGGCTAATATTCAGAATCTACAAAGAACTTAAACAAATTTCCAAGAAAAAAACAAACAGGGGCAAAGTACATGAACAGACACTTCTCAAAAGAAGACATTTATGCAGCCAATAGACACATGAAAAAATGCTCATCATCACTGGTCATCAGAGAAATGCAAATCAAAACCACAGTGAGATACCATCTAATGCCAGTTAGAAGGGCGATTATTAAAAAGTCAGGAAACAACAGATGCTGCAGAGGATGTGGAGAAATAGGAACACTTTTACACTGTTGGTGGGACTGCAAATTAGTCCAACCATTGTAGAAGACAGTGTGGCGATTCCTCAAGGATCTAGAACCAGAAATACCATTTGACCCAGCGATCGTATTACTGGGTATATACCCAAAGGATTATAAATCATGCTATTATAAAGACACATGCACACGTATGTTTATTGTGGCACTATTCACAATAGCAAAGACTTGGAACCAACCCAGTTGCTCATCAATGATAGACTGGATTAAGAAAATGTGGCACATATATACCATGGAATACGATGCAGCCATAAAAAAGGATGAGTTCATGTCCTTTGCAGGAACATGGATGAAGCTGGAAACCATCATTCTCAGCAAACTATCACAAGGACAGAAAACCAAACACCACATGGTCTCACTCATAGGTGGAAATTGAACAATGAGAACACATGGACACAGGGTGGGGAACATTACACACCAGGGCCTATCGGTGGGTAGCGGCTGAGGGAGGGATAGCATTAGGAGAAATACCTAATGTAAATGACGAGTTGATGGGTGCAGCAAACCAACACGGCACATGTATACCTAATGTAACAAACCTGCACATTGTACACATGTACCCTAGAACTTAAAGTATTTTTTTAAAAAAATGCTAAAGGGCCAGGCGCAGTGGCTCATGCCTGTAATCCCAGCACTTTGGGAGGCCAAGGCAAGCAGATCACCTGAGGTTAGGAGTTCGAGACCAGGTTGGTCAACATGGTGAAACTCTGCCTCTACTAAAAATACAAAAATTAGCCAGGCTGGTGGCACACGTCTGTAATCCCAGCTACTTGGGAGTCTGAGGCACGAGAATTGCTTGAACTAGGGAGGCAGAGGTTGCAGTGAGCTGAGATTGAGCCACTGCACTCCAGTCTGGACAACAGAGCAAGGAGACTCCATCTCAAAAAAAAAAAAAAAAAAAAAGCTAAAGGGAATCTTTCAGGCTAAAATGAAAGGACACTAGCCAGTAACTTGAATACTTGAATCTGCATGAAGGAATAATGAACATGGGGAGAGGTAGCTACCTAAGTAAATATAAAGGGCAGTATTAATTTTTTTCCTAACCTTTCTTTTTTTAAAAGACAACTGCATAAAGCAATAATTAAAATTTAGGTTGATGAGCATACAATATATAAAGATGTAATTTGTGGAAATATAATATAAAGGGGATAGAGCTGAATAAGAACAAAGTGTTTGTATAATATTGAAATTAATCTAAACTAGGTTGTTACAAATCAATATATGAATTGTAATCTCCAGGGCAATTATTAAGAAAACAAATAAATAATATATACTTTAAAAGATACAGATTTAGAATTATCCTAGAAAATACGGATTTAACACAAAAGAAAGCAGTAATGAAGGAATTGAGGAGGAAAAAAGATAAAAGGCATAGAAAACAAATAGCAAAATGGCAGGAGTAAGTCCTTTTCAGTAATTATATTAAATGTAACTCTTCAATTAAAAGGCAGAGATTTGCCAAATAGATTTTAAAATCATGATACAACTATTATGATGTCTACAAGAGTTTCAATTTAGATTCAAAGACACAAATAGGTTGAAAATTAAAAGATGTGAAAGATCTTCCATACAAATAACCAAAAGAGAGTTTGAATGGCTATATTAATATCAGACAAATAGACTTTAACACGAAACTTAGACAAAGAAGGTCATTAGACTACGATAAAAGGGTCTAACCTTCACATATTTTTAATGCATTTCAACTCCTGATATGACACACTTTTAGCTTTCTATTTCTCCTTGACACTCCTGCCTCCATCCATACGTTGTCCTCCTTCATCTCTGACTATCCTAATTCTATTCATGTTCAAGGTTTACCCCATGACATCCTCTTTCTTGGAGGCACTATGTCTTTGGCTAAGTGCGCAGACTCAGAGCAGATAAGCATGTGATCCAAAAGTAGATGTCTTCACTTACTAGCTCTATAACTTTGGGGAAGTCACTTAACTTTTTTGAGACTGTTTCCTTAACTGTAAAATTCCTTACCTATATCAGGTTTCTATAAAGATTAAATTAGATCTTGCATGTAAATTATAATGTAATTATTGACCTACAAATAATTAGTCCTTATCATATTATGCTTGGTTCCATGAAGGAAATTGTAACTACCTTTGGGGGAAAAGACAGGCTTATCCCTAAGGTGCTTAAGTAGTACACTCACTGTACATTTGGTAGTTTAAAAAAAAAAAAAAATTTAACAAATACTTTCACTCATTCATCCTTGAATGAGAGAGAGAGCCCTCAGGAAAACATCATTCATGAAGCCCACACCTACTTCTTTCTCTTTTTAGACCAAGCAGACTAATAGTATCTGGGCTTCCTGACAGCTTGGGAACAAAGCATGTAAACTCGCCTACTGTCAGCCTCCACACCAACATGAGATGGATATGGGCTGCCTGGGGTGTGCAGTTGGTGAAGGAAATGCTATACTTGACTATGAGAGAGCGCCATGTTCAAATATTCTGTAGTACTCATGATTTGTGTTCAAGCCTCCTTCCATGGGAAGAACCAGCGGTAGACCTGAAGAGCTCTGCCTTCAGACAGATGATTCACTCAGAACAGGTTGCTGGTGACTGAACCTCAGTGACAGGGTCATCCTTTGTCACCCAGCTCTCCAAGGGCACCTTGCTCACGGAGGCTAAGCTCAGAGTGAAAGTGCCTTTTGGAGTGCTAGCTTCTTTCTACCAACAATGATAGATTTCCATCTGTGCTGCCAAACGGGTAAGTTCTTTCCTCAAGGAGCACTTATAAAAGACGACTTCCAGGCTGGGTGCAGTGACTCATGCCCATAATCTCAGCACTTTGGGAGGCCGAGGTGGGTGGATCACCTGAGGTCTGGAGTTCGCAACCAGCCTGGCCAACATGATAAAACCCCGTCTCTACTAAAAAAAATACAAAAATTAGCTGGGTGTGGTGGTGCACACCTGTAATCCCAGCTACTTGGGAGGCTGAGGCAGGAGAATCACTTGAACCTGGGAGGCAGAGATTGCAGTGACCTGAGACCTCACCATCACACTCCAGCCTGGGGAACAAGAGCGAAACTCCATCTCAAACAAACAAACAAAAAAAAAGACTTCCTTTTGCCAGAAAACTAAGGCCCCCCGCAAAGCAAAATTATTTCCCTTTGGCTGTTCAGGAACAATTGCTCATCCCCTTTTGATTTTTTGACTTTTAACTCCTCCTCAAGGAAGTTAAAGGATGTTTTTTGTTATTGGTAGGTTGCGCTTTTCTAGAGGGAAATAGTTCTAATATTGAGATCTAAACTGAGAATTGCTGATTATCCATGGAACAAGCATTTTATAAACAAGACCAGACCCTAGCTCCCACAGAGGACATGGTTGATAGCTTAGTACCAAAGCACAAGCATTATCTTCTGAGTGGGAAAGCAGATATGGAGCTTCCTTGCCCACCTGACACCTGAGCCAACATGTGCAGAATTGGAGCCTTCCAAAACTTGGGCCTTTTCCAAGGTTCTCCAAGTCAAGGAAGGGCATCATTGTGTCAGCTTGGGTCCTCCTAGAGCAGACACCAACGTGGAATTAAACCTGGAAGAGTTTATTGGGGAAAATGCGTATGAAGAATAAAGAGGAGCAGAAGCAAGAGTAAACAGAAAGAGCCTTACACCGTAATGCAGGTCTGACCCCTGTGAAAGAGGAGAGGGAAGGTGGGAGGAGTAGATAGGAAGAGCCTCAGACTGCAGAGCCACTCTGAGAAAGTGCTGGCCAGGCTGACAGGAAGCCCCAGAGTACAGGTGGCCTATTAGAGGAGTTTCGCCTCTGGCATTCTCTCTTATAGCGTCAAATGCATCCTGTAGCATTTAGGATGGCATTCTATATTTGACCAATTATTTGATTGTTTTATTACCTCACTCAAGAGTGTTTCCCGAGGGCAGAGACCACATTTATTTTTGCTCGTCACTGAATCCCCAGCATTAGCAGGGTGGCTGCATTTTGAGGTTGCCACAGAATATTTGTTGAATGAAGTATCTAAAAGGGTTATTTTTTTCATTTTTATCTGAATCACACATCAGGTATTTTTTTTCCTAACCAGTGACTCCTAAGTTATATGCTGCTTGCACCATGCTTTCATTCCATTTATATCATTCTTCAGCTGTGTTGTGTGATCGTCAGCTGTGCCCCGCCCCCCAACCCTCCATTGCCCGCTTCTGTAGTAAAGTCTTTTGGGACTGGCCTTGGACTTGCACTTTTGCTTCTTTTGTGTCTTCATTGACTATCAGTGCAGGCCTGGATAAAGTGCTTGTTGCAGAACTTGCTACTGCACAAACTTTTGTTCCAGGGTTAGATCAGGAAGGGTAGTAACGAAAACAGAGCTGTCTCCAAAAGGTGGGATAGAACGCTGTCCTTTAGAAGTTAAATTATAAATCAAGCCAATCAGAGCAAAGACACAAAATGTCTCCATAAAGAAAAATAAGGGCTGCAAGACCTTACTGGGTAACATTACTCAGTAATGCCTTGCTCTATCTAAAAATGTATCCATCTGAGGAGGGGCGGCCTGGGTACCCTGATAAAGAGAGCCTCATCCAAACAAACAGATGGTGTCCACCAGGCCCCATCTAGGGAGAACAGCAGGCCAGGCCAGCAGGGATGAGTGAACAGTCCTCCCTACAGGTTTTGACCTGTGTTGTGGAAAACGACATCCCACATTGCCCAAGCCTGATATCATTAACCATTTAAGTCAGACAATTCACTCTTCTGATTCTGATTTTAGGCTCACTAAGCCACCTACTGACTACTGGGCTCCAAACTGCATGGCTACAAGAAGAGAATATACTCTTCAGGTGGCCTCAAGTCCTGTGTTCCTGACAGTCTTGCTTCTAACAGGAATGGCTAAGCTGCAGATTTTGGGGTCAGATGGCCTTGATTCAAACCCTGCCACTAACATACATAGTAACTATGTGACCTTGGGATTTCCTTCATCTTTTGTTCTCCCAAGTGAAAAATAAATAGGTTATAATATACCACATGATAGTAGGGAGAATTAAATGAGGTAATGCATGTAATGCATTTAGCATAGCACTTCTCTAGCAAATAGTGAATGAAATCAGTAAATTGGTATTCTGACTTCATGCAACAGTGCTAATCAACTATGGAACACTGGAAGTCAGATGAGATTTTTGGTCCCACAAAGTCAAGGACAAAACCTTGGGAAGTCGCCAAGATGAAAGACTTCAGGCCGGCCTTCACCTCCTGATGCTCTCTGTTCACATGTGTGATGTCTATAAAAGGTAACCAGGATTTGGCTTATCTTCTTATATCTCTTCCATCTTTTCCTGATTTTCATCTTCCCAAACATAGTTTTTATGCAGAAGCAGATTTAACTCTACTTTGCTATCTTGGAGTCAAGAATTGTCCTATAAGGAGGAAGAGTCTCCAAGATTTGCATTTTTTGTTTCGTTTTTTTTTTTTCCTTCATACTACAGACTAAAAGTATCATCTTCTGGACAGAGAAACAGGCTGTTGTTTTTCTAAGGTCATCATTTGGCCTGCCCCACTTTCCCACCTGCTCTGGAGGGAACTATTGCAAGGACACATACAAGCCCCTACATCAGTCACACACCAGGGCCTCCATCTTGCAGGGAATGTGCCCAAATTACAAACAGGTAAACCAAAGTGACTCTAGGCAGATTTAATAGTTTATTTTGGTTTCTTGTTCCAGTTATAACAGACTGCTCTATGTTTGCTCTATGGCAAAAACTTTTATGTTTGCTCTGCAACAAACGTACACACAGGGCAAATTGTGTTTGGAGTATGGTGTCTTGCCAATGTTTTCTAAAAGCAAGTGAATAGAAATGCTTGCAAAAGTATTTTCAGACCTCAGTGGCCAGCGCTGAACACTGCTGTAGGAATGTCCATCAAATGTTGTGGCCGTGCTCTGCTCTAACAAAAACCTGGTTCCGTGGCATAATTGTAGGGGCTGTCAGGCTAAGTTTGAGACACCTTCCAAAAAAAAATTTCAGGGCTTCCTCAGTCTTTAAACTCCAGAAAATATTGTCCAAACTTTGACAACTAACCTGTTATCATGGAGATAGCTCCAAGTTGACGCACTGGCCACTGGAGAATGTCTATCAAGCATCCAGGTAAATAATGACTTGGTTGCTGCCCTCAAGGAACCTACCTAGAGGCTGACAGAAAATTTTAAGTATTTTTTCCTTCTATTGTTCATTCCTAAAATTCTGGCGGTAGGTATGATTATTATTCCCATCCCACAGGGGAAGTAACTAAGTCTAACTACTTGAATATTTTGTCCCAAATCACTAACAATAAGAGATGGCCAGACACTGAACCCTGGAATCTCTAAATGTTTAGATATTGATGGGCACTGCTTAGACAAACCATAGGCTTGCTGTTCCAGTTTCTCTTATCGGATGGAGGGACCCCCATTTCACCGAGATCATTGACTTTTGGGTTCTCCGCTGACCCCAGATAAGATGCCTGGTACCTCGTGGTCAAGTCCCCTCCAACGGGGACTCCTCTGAGGCTTGGTCCCAGCTGCTCAGGCTGGCACCCGCCTCCTCAGGCCAGAGCCCAAAGCGCCGCCAGCGGTCAGTTCCCGGGCCGGCTGCCAGCCACAGGCCCAAGTAAACGCTGAATGAAGGGCAGATGGAGGAACCTGTCCCGGTCCGGCGAGAGCGCCGCGGGCGCCTTTCCGCTTACCGCGGGCCTGCCCAGCCTCCCGTCTAGCCCGGGCCCGGGTCCCGCCGAGGCAGGTGTGCGCGGCGGACTCGCTCTCGGGCACTCGGCGGGACCGAGCTCCACCCCGAACGCCACCGGGCAGGCCACGCGCAGACCCGAGCCCGGGGCCCCCGCCTCTGGCTGCCGGCCCGCGCTCGGCCCCGGTCCCGCCTCCCGGAGGTTTTCGCTTTCGCTTTCCTGCCGATGTCGTTGAGGAAAATGAAAGTGGTTGTGTCCAGGACTGGCGCAGCTGCCGTTCCGGGCGAGGGGCGCAGAATGCGGCGGCGGCCAGCCTGGAGCGCGGGCCCTGGGACGCCCGCGCAGGGCGAGGTAAGCGCAGCCCCTTCGCCTCCGCCTCGCGGGCTCCTCCTTGCGGACCCGGCGGGCCCGACGCCAGGCGGTTGACCGGGGCAGGGTCTGGGGTTCTGCCGTGGGGGCGGGGAGGGCCTGAGACGCGGCACCCCTGGGTTTCGTGGCTTTGAGCCTCCAGGGCGGGCTGGAAGACCTGGGAGGCCTCAGACAAGCGTGCCAAGGGGCTAGCAGCCCGGGGTCGAGCTGGGACCGTGGCAAGTCGGGCCACCTGAGCACACCTTTCCTTTTTGTAGAGCACCGACCTCCCTGGGTGTTGGTAAAAATCAAAAGTGGGAGGGTGTACGTAAAATACCGAGCAGAATGCCTAACCTGAGCTCATAATCTACTCCCTCTGACCTGTCAGACTCATTTTTCCCACTGGGCCCTACCCCATCCCTCGTGTAGTTTGCGTAAGTTTCCTAGATCTGGTGCACCTGAGGGCGCTTGGGGTGCCTTCCAAGTGTTCCCTGACCGAGCAAGCTGGCAGCTCATCTCCCTTGATCACAGGCATGGAGAGCAACTAGGCCACGATGGGGCCCCATTGCCCCGGCCCTGTCCATGTGAAGTCAGGGCCTCACTCTGCTGGGGCCCCCATCCCAGGGCTAACATAGATGGTCAGGGATAGGTGCACTCACAGAAGGAGTCCTTCCCAGACCGGGAAATTTCCAGTCCACTGCATCTGCCAGCAGAAACATGAAAGATGCGTGCCACCTTGTCTTTGTCCTTCGTCAAGTATAGACAACTCATTCTTGGTATGCAGGAAGGGGTTCCCCCCGCCAGCGCTGTGGAAACAGCCCCTGCCCTTAAGGCGTTCCCCATCCCCTGACGAGAGAAAATATGCATTCAAGTTACCCATAAGGCAGGTTGTGCAGAACAAGGACAGATGAGTGAAAGAGCTAAGAGCTGAGAGTAAAGTGACTAAATCATCAGGCACTTAACTTACATTTAAGTAACGTCAGCTTTTGCAGGCCAATACCAAGAATCCCCTTTAAGTCAATTTTTGTCTCAATAATAATGAATTCAACCTAATCACACAGATCTGATCATAAGACCCATTACTGAAACAAAACTTGAATGATCTTAACTTTGATAAAACCATCTGAATTTGACAAAGATGGTCTAAGGTCCTAAGTTTTAAAACATGGAGTCCCCCGCTGCTCTACCCCAGGACAGTGTTGAGTACTGATTGCTTTTAGAAAATGTTGCTGTTGCTGGGCACGGTGGCTCACGCCTGTAATCCTAGCACTTCAGGAGGCCGAGGCAGGCAGATTACTTGAGATTGGGAGTTTGAGACCAGCCTGACCAACACGGAGAAACCCCATCTTTACTAAAAATACAAAATTAGCCGGGCGTCATGGCACATGCCTGTAATCCCAGCTACTCGGGAGGCTGAGGCAGGAGAATCGCTTGAACCTGGGAGGTGGAGGTTGCAGTGAGCCAAGATCGCGTCACTGCACTCCAGCCTGGGCAACAAGAGCTAAACTCCATCTAAAAAAAATCAAATAAAGAAAATGCTGCTGTTTTCGTGAGCCAGAAAATTAGATGCACTTCCGTTCACATTCCATTGGCAAGAACTAGTCTCATGGCTCTCACCTAATTGTAAGGTGGCTGGGAAATGTAGTCTGGTGGTGTTCCCAGGAGGAAGAGAACAGAGAGACTGGTGAGTACTCGTAACCTCTTCCACAATCGACTAATGTAGTGAATTACTTTATCATGATGTATTTGTAATATACTTTTGCATTTGATTAGGTAATATTTAGGAGTTTAACATCCATGTTTTTAAGTGAAACTATCCTGTATTTTTATTTGTACAGTCCATATTTAACATTTCAAAATTAAGTAACCTTAAATTGGGCAATGTTTTCTCTTTTTTTCTATCTTCTAAAGCAACTCCATTAAGATAGAGATTTTCTGCTCCTTGGAAGTTAGTAGAAGGCACTTGTAAAATGTTCTGGGTCTGAAACTCTATGGGGAAGAGGTTTCAAAATTATTTGAGTCTCTTAAGTAGTTATACACATTTTTTGTGCCAAATTTGGTAATTTTTATTTTCTAGAAATGTATTTATTTCATCTGTATTTTCAAATGTGTTATCATGTATTTATATTATTCTTTATACATTTTAAAACGTCTGTTTTATCTGTCATTTCTTCCTTTTTCTGTAATCTCATTATTTAAAAATCTTGTGTCAGTTATTCTTGATCAGTCTCACTAGAGGTTTGTCTACTTTCAAGTAAATACTTCGAGTTTTGTTAACCACCTTTTTTTTTGGTCCTCTATGTCCTCTATTTCACTGATCCTGCCCTTACGTTTATTATTCCGTTTTATTACGTTTATTATTACATTTATTTTTTCATGTTCCTTTGGTCATGTGCTTTTGTAATAGATTCAAACAGTGTAGACGTTTGTAAAGTGAGACAGGAAAGTCCATTTCAGCCTCTATAGGCAACCACAGATATCATATTGGGGTGTGTTTTTCTGGACCCTTTCCTATGCTTATACAAATATTTTCCTACAACTTTCTAAACTGAAACTCATAGGTAAACCGCTCTCTATAGGCAACCACAGATATCATATTGGTGTGTTTTTCTGGACCCTTTCCTATGCTTATACAAATATTTTCCTACAACTTTCTAAACTGAAACTCATAGGTAAACTGCTCTCTATAGGCAACCACAGATATCATATTGGTGTGTTTTTCTGGACCCTTTCCTATGCTTATACAAATATTTTTCTACAACTTTCTAAACTGAAACTCATGGGCCTCTTTCTATGGTGTATACACACACATATGCATACATACACACACACACACACATCCATTAAAGTGGAATATGTACCATAATTTATCCATTTTCCATTCATGGTCATTTAGGGTGAAAGTCTTGATCTTTTAATAATGGAATTTAATTCATTCTTACTTATTTTGATCAGTGATAAATATGATCTTATTTTTGCCATCTTGTTTTGCCATGTATTTATCATGCATTTTTTTTCCTTGTGACTCGATGGATTCATCAAAGTGTATTTGTCCTCTGTGTCTTCTTTCCTTCTTTTTATTCAGTGAGTTGGAAGTTCTGTATCTTACAATAGGCCATCATTTAGTTCTTAAGCTTAGATAAACTTGTATTTTTGTCTCTCGCAAAAATCAGAACCAATAACCTCCTTCCAAATATAATAAATTTTTTTTTTTTTGGAGACAAAATCTCGCTCTGTCACCCAGGCTCGAGTGCAGTGGTGCAATCTCGGCTCACTGCAACCTCCACCTCCTAGGTTCAAGCACTTCACCTGTCTCAGCCTCTTGAGTAGCTGGGACTACAGGTGTGCGCCACCATGCCCAGAAAATTTTTGTATTTTTAGTAGAAACGGGGTTTCACCATGTTGGCCAGGATGGTCTCGATCTCTTGACCTCATGATCTGCCTGCCTCGGCCTCCCAAAGTGCTGAGATTACATAAGGATGTTTTCACGTCTCTTTTTCCTCACCTTTTCCCCACAGGCACATATACACGTAGGTATCTGCCCAGGAATAACCTGAACAATTCCAATTGTTATTAATTCTTCTTGCTTCAAAATACACTTTCCTTTTTCTATGTTAGAAATATTAACAATTGCATTAGTCTACAATCTAACCTATTTGTGCAACTGCATATTATACCAGGATAGGAAAGTTTAAACATGTATTTCTTTTAGACTTTTCATTGACTTGCTGAAAATTTGTAGTGAATTGTATCTTGAGTAATGCTTCTCTGGGTCTCTTATTTCCCAAAAGTACACTTTGGAATCCATGCAATTCTGATCCTTGTTTGACCTTTGCTGGCACAAAGGCATTCTGAAATATTTGCAAATGCTAAAGTCACTTCCTCATGTTTTACAGAGTTTACTTTAGCTTGGTGAAACCAAGTGCAATATCAGTTTGTTGTAAGCTTACCACTAACTAAAGATTCATAAAATAGCCCTGCCCTAGGGTCAGGGACTAGCTAGAGGAGCATGAAAATAGTCTTTGAAGATTCAGCTGCTGGATATTTTACACCAAAAAGCTGAAACGTTTTAACTATTTCAATATTTTGTTTATAGTACTTAATATTTGTGAACATGAAGGAAAATGGGCACTTTTATAGTAAAACTGTGGTTAAACTAACTTGGATGGTGTTTGGGCTCTGGTTATCAGAAGCTCCTTAAAGTGTCCATACCTTTTATCCCAGTTCTACTTCCAAGAATATGTCCTAAGGCATGTTTTCGTAGGAGGTTATTTCAGGTGGCGCAGGGTAATTCTAGTTGGGACACATTTGCCACATTGTCTAACACTGACTCACAGTGAGAAAGTTATTCCCATGCTCAATTCCTTTTCAGTCTTCTGATCAAGGGAAGGAGAAAAACTTTAGCTTGGTGCTAGCATGCCTTCAACACCTCTCTCACTAAGCCTCTCTAATCTCCCATTTTATATAAAAGAATGAGCAAAGGGAGAGCAGTATTTTGACTCTATTTTAACCACAGTATTTTTTTATTCCAATAACACATATTATGATTGCCTTCATTTATGGCATATGATGTTGGTTTTCCACTTAAATAGGTTTGCTCTTTTTTTTTTTTTTTTTGATACTGAGTCTTGCCCTGTTGTCCAGGCTACAGTGCAGTGGCACAATCTTGGCTCACTGCAACTTCTGCTTCACAGGTTCAAGCGATTCTCATGCCTCAGCCTCCTGAGTAGCTGGGACTACAGGCACGCACCACCACGCCTGGCTGATTTTTTTTTTTTTTTGTTGGGGTTGGGTTTTGGCCTTTTTGCCCGGGTTGTTTCGAACTCCTGAGCTCAGGCAATCCGCCTGCCTTGGTCTCCCAAAGTACTAGAATTACAGGTGTGAGCCACCATACCCAGTCAGGTTTGCTTTTAAAATACATTTGTTTAAGGACAGAAATGAGTTGATTTAAAGAGAAATGTTAAGTACATTACAGATGGTAATTAATTATAGCAAAATAGTAATGGCAATGCATGGATGTAGGAAATAGGACCTTAAGGAAATAATCAGAGCTATAGACACAGATTTATATCTAGGGATATTCCCGTAGATGAGGAGGTTCCTACCAATGGCTTATGTTACCATAAAGTTAGAAACTACTCAGTTGTTCAGCAATTAGGGATTGGTTAAGTGATTTTTTCGTACTTTCATATGATGGAATACTACCATTATGAAAAACTATATTTAATACATGGAGGATTACATACTGTTACATAAAACTGGTTATAAAAGTATATACAGTATTGTAATTTTGTTAAAAATGAAGTGAGTGTGAGTGTGTGTGTGTGTGTGTGTGTGTGTGTGTGCCTGTGCCAAAATCAATGGGGAAAAAAGACTAGAAGAAAATACTTCTATTGATCATTGGACTACAGGAGTTGTTTGTGTTTTCCTATAATAGACATATGTCACTTTTGTCACCAGAAAAAACAATATATCTATTTTTAAATTAACATGCTCCTAGGCCGACAGGACTACCTGGTATTTTGTCATCTACAGGCATTCCTGGGTCCTTTCCTGCTCTTACAATTCAGTGAGGTCTCTGTGGCCTGCTGCAACATCATGGGGAAATAGTACTGTTAAGACATCATTGTCATCTCTCAGTACAATCCAAGGTACTTGGTTTTGGAGTGTGCATATTTATATTTTTGGAGTAGAATGGGAGAATGTTTCTAAAATTCTCTCAAATAATTTTTATTGCTTTTTCTTCTTGACAGCTCCATTAAACAGGACCAAATTAGGATCCCATTTTTTAAGTAGGTCTGGATTATTAAGCAAGAATAGAGTAGATGCTGAGTCTCCTAGTTTCTTGTTTAGTCTTGCTTTAATTTCTACATTTTCTACTGACCATGAAGTTTTTAGATGTTGGATTTAATCATGGTTCTGCATCACCTAGGTTAGAGATGTGTATATTTAAATCTGGACCCCTCTCTTCCAGAATTACAAAATCTCTGTTCATGGAAAAAAAAAAAAAAAAATTTGCTGCAAGACTTAATGCTTAGCAGAAATAATTGCTACCTTTTGCCTAGCAAAAATTCCCCAAATATTCTTTCTTAGGGCTTGTTCCTGGAGACTCATGAACTTTTTTGTGGGAATGGGGTTGGCAGGTTAAGCAAGTTAATGGTGTGTCTGTCTGGGAGTGCTCTACAGCCCTGGTGTGAGCTTCCTCCTTCTGTAAAAGTGCTGGGCTCTAGCCAGGGTGAGCCAGCCAGGGCCTGAGCCTGAAAGAGACCTGCTGTAGCATTCCAGTACCATCTGCCAGATTGCAGCGAGACCTTTGACTGGCCGGCTCTTCCCCTGCTTGGGTCCTTCAACTCCACTCCTCTCCATCCCCTCGGCCACCACTGTGGTGCAAGCTCTCACACCTCTTGACTGAACCACAGCAGTGATCTCTAGCTAGTCCCTGCCTCCCCTTGCCCTTACGTCCAATCTGGTTTTTCACAGGAGCTAGTATGTCCTATTCTCCTACTGCTGCTGTAACAAATTACCACAAAGTCAGTGCCTTAAAACAACACAAATTTACTATTTTAGAAGTCCCGAAATTAAGGCTTTGGCAGGGCTGCGTTCCTTCTGGAGGCTCTAAAGGAGAATCGTTTTGTTACTTTTTCCAGCTTCTAGAGGCCACTGCATTCCCTGTCCCAGGGCCCCTTCCTCCTCTTCGAAGCCAAGTGTTTCTCGTGCCACATCACTCTGAGGCTCCTCAGATCTCCCCCTGCCTCCCTCTTATAAGGACACTGGTGATTACATTGGGCCCACCTGGATACTCTCCAATTCTCAGGATCCTGAATCACATCTGCAATGTCCCTTTTGCCATGTAGGGGAACATACGCACAGCCTCTAGGGATTCACACATAGACATCTTTGGCAGGGCCATTACTCAGCCTACATAGATAATCTTTTAAAAGTACACATCTAAATGCATTACTCCTCTGCCTAAGACCCTTGTGTGGTGCTCCAGTTCTCCAGGGTGAAGGCTCAAACTCCTCTTGTGGCTTGGAGTGTCATGCAAGGGTTGTCTACACTGCTTTTCCAGCCTCACCCTGCCTCCTGTCCCTGCTGACTGCCCACGATCCAGCCTGTGCACAGGGTGTGCTTTTGACAGGGACACTGCTTGATATGGTTTAGATGCATGTCTCCTCCCAATCTCTTGTTGAAATGTGATCGCCAGCATTGGAGGTGGGACCTGGTGGGAGGTGTTTGTGTCATGGGGCTGGATTCCTCATGAATGGTTTGGTACCATCCCGGAAGTAATGAGTGAGTTCTTACTCTGTTCAGGTGAGAGCTGGTTGTTTAAAGGAGCCTTGGCATCTCCTCCCCTTTCTTGCTCTTTCTTGTGCCATGTGACACGCCAGCTCCCCCTTTACCTTTCACCATGATTGTAAGCATCCTGAGGCCTGACCAGAAGCCAAGCAGATGCTGGTGCCATGCTTGTACAGTCTACAGAACTGTGAGCCAAACCTCTTTTCTTTTTTTTTTTTTTTTTTTTTGAGACGGAGTCTTGCTCTGACACCTAGGCTGGAGTGCAGTGGCATGATCTTGGCTCACTGCAACCTCTGCCTCCCCAGTTCAAGCAATTCTCCTGCCTCAGCCTCCCAACTAGCTGGGATTACAGGCATGCACCACCACACCCAGCTAATGTTTGTGTTTTTAGTAGAGACAGGGTTTCACCATGTTGGCCAGGTTGGTCCCGAACTCCTGACCTCAGATGATCCACCCGTCTCAGCCTCCCAAAGTGCTGGGATTACAAGTGTGAGCCACTGCACCCAGCCTTAAACCTCTTTTTTTAATAAATTATCCAGCCTCAGATATTCCTTTATAGCAATGCAAAATGGACTAACACATTGCTCCTCCCCACACTCCATCTCAGGCCTCCCCCTAGACAAGGTCAGGCCTCCTGGAGGCGCTCTCACAAGGACTACATGCAATTCTGCTACCACACCTATCACAGATTAACATCTGTGCATTTATTTAGGTGATTATTTGACTAATAATAAATGTTCCTCTTATGTAAGTACTCCATACAGGCAGAGACTATGTCTATTTCTTACCCATAATTGCATCCTTGGCACAGTGCCTGACATGCAGCTGTGGGCAATAAATGACATGGTTAGTAAGTCCTTGGAAATAAATGAATAAATGAATGGATATTAACAGCATTGTCATCGTGCTGTGTCTCTTTTTCCCTGCTTTTTCTTCTGCTTGGCATTTGTCTCCTTTTCTATTGTTGCCTCCCTCCACTACAACAGAAGCTTCGTGAGAGCAGGGACTTTGTCTTGTGTGTTCGCTCCTCTCTTCCCAGGTCCTAGAGCAGTGTCTGGTCCATAACACTCAATGGATATTTTGGGAATGAATGTCTGCAAGATGCTGAGAATCTCTCACAGAGTTTTCATATGTGACCCCTCTTTGAAATTGAGTATTACCAAGTTATTCATTTTAATGATTCAACCTAATTCAGTAATCAGGCAAATTGGCAGAGACCTAAAATATTTACCCGTCGTTGTGAGGATGAAATAAGTAAACAAGTGTGAGTTATTTAGAGCAGTGTCTGGTAACCACAGCCCTGTGTAAGAGTTTGCTGCTGTTGTTAAGAAATGCTTGACTTCTTATATCTTAGAGTTTTTGCTGACTCTGTTGCCTGTGTTGGGATCCCAAGCAGAAACTGTTTGTGGCCCAGCAGGTGTTGGCACTCGGTGAGTGCTCCTGGCTCTTGTGCCACCGTGGGGACCCAGGTCTTCCAGCCGCCTGAGGATATAGGAGGGGCTTCAGGCGCATGATTGGGGCCGTTGCTTATGTTTTTCCGTTGTTTGGCCTGCAGGTGGCAGCACACCCTGGCCCCCCAGGCAGTCCTGAGGATGGCCAGCAGAGAAACAAGAAAATGGACTCCCTGGCTGCTGGAGAGTTGAATGCCAGCCACCAGCCATGGGTGAGTGGAGAGCCTGACCGGAATTTTTCTCTTATTTGTTCTGCATTATTTGTGTTTTGGTATATGAATTGCTGTAAGTCACATGTGTTCGATTTTGAGGCCATTTGTTGATTTTTGCGGTTTGTTTACAAAAACAACAAACAATAGCAGTGAAACCAGAATTATTCCTGGAATGTATCAGAGAGTATGAGGGACAAGGGTGCATCCTCTGCATTGTAAGTGTGACTTCCCTTCCCCTCTGCATCTTAGGCCTGTCCCCTTTGCCATCCAAGGAGGAAGTATCCACCCAGAATAGTTCAACAAGTATGTGACAAGCTGGGAGGGTGAGGTGTTCTTTGCGGGGACCCTGCAGTCCTTCTTCCAGTCACTCCCAGGGTGGACTATTCTGCACTGCCATGCCTGGCCCCTCAGAACCCATGGTTTCCATCTGCCTGCCCAGGCCTTGCAGCCCCTTGGTGTACTTCTCCTGCTGACCCTCCCCTCTTCTTACCCCTATTAATTTCACAGCTCTATCTTATTTATCCCAAGATCCTATTTGTGCTGCATTCTGAGCACTTGAATGAGGATTGTTTATTTTCTATTTTGATCACATTTGTTAGCTTTGTGCTTAGAAGAAAATAATTTCAGTTTCATAAATGAGAATAAGCCCTTATGTCAAGGACCACTACATCACTTCTTGGCATTCCAGTGAGGGGTCTAGTGACGAGCTTCCCTGAATTTCAGTACCTTTCAAGGCCTCTCTTGAAAGAATGTGGAATTAATTTGGGTGGAGGCTTGTGCAAGGACTTTTTTTCTGAGTGTATTTGGCCAGTGGGCCAGTGGGGAAGCAAAGGCATGGACCAGAGAGAGGAACAAGGAAGAAGGAGAAGCTGGGGCTGCAGGATGCCATCTGCTGTTTGTACAGCTTCCCATGGCCCACCGTAGTGGCCACAGGGCACAGCTAGGAATCCTTCATGTGGCTGTTGCTTGCTGTTGGGTGACATGATTCAGAACTGTGTAGCTCCATGTCCAGTTCCACTCCGCATCTCACTCACAAAGCTCTAGAGTTGGGCTGTTGGGTTTTGGTGAAAGCAGGTGCTATGAAGAATGTATTGAAGGACAAATCAGTCCCTAAGGGACTTCGATAGACGCAGTCCTAAAAACATTTCCGGGCTGGTTTCTTTTTTTTAAACACCAGTTAACCGTTTTCAGTTTAACTGTGTTTTCCTTCCTGAAACCTTTAAGTGAGACTAATTGGTATGTTTTTTTTTTTTTTTGGTATGCATTGTTTTTAGGGAGTTTCTCCACTTGTCAAGTCTGGGTTGGAGACAGAGATGAAATGGTTTTTTTTTCCCACACACAGACCAAGCATGCAGAAATGGGAATGATTTCAGTTTGTCTTTAATTTAATTTCTATATATTTATTTTCCTTTCCTTGGGAAATAGAGGAAATATTTGGGGGCATTTTCACCAAATTATAACTTGTAACTTCACATGAGCCTGTCAGCAGGAATTTCTGTGCATGTTTTAATGCCTGGTTGGGGGAGACACGAAAAGACAACAGATAGTTGCCCTCAAGGATCCTTTGTTCTGGCTGGGGAGTCACAACTTTGTTCCTCCCTTTAAGTAACACCAAATACTAGAGCCCCAGGAGCAGGTCTCATCATGAATGCCCAGTAGTCAGTGCCTAGAAAAACCTAAGTCCGGGAAGACTATGAGACCTGCCCCTGGGGCTCTAGTAAATTCAGATGAGAGAAAAGAAGGTGGGTGGTGTTTCCAGGCACACAGGTGTAAGAAGGACCAGGGAGTACCTAGGTCCAACTTGAACATCATTTGGAGGAGTGCAGAGAGATTGTATTGGACAGGTTGGTTAATCAGATTTCAGTGGTGGTGGGAGTTTGACTATCAAGCCAAGGAGTTTGAATTTGATACCATAAAGAATAGGAAGCGTCCGGGCCCAGTGGCTCACGCCTGTAATCCCAGCACCTTGGGAGGCCAAGGTGGGCGGATCACGAGGTCAGGAGATCGAGACCATCCTGGCTAACATGGTGAACCCTCTTCTCTACAAAAAATACAAAAACTTAGCTGGGCATGGTGGCGTGTGCCTGTAGTCCCAGCTACTCGGGAGGCTGAGGCAGGAGAATGGCATGAACTCAGGAGATCGAGACCATCCTGGCTAACATGGTGAACCCTCTTCTCTACAAAAAATACAAAAACTTAGCTGGGCATGGTGGCGCGTGCCTGTAGTCCCAGCTACTCGGGAGGCTGAGGCAGGAGAATGGCATGAACCCAGGAGGTGGAGCTTGCAGTGAGCCGAGATCACGAGACTGTACTCCAGCCTGGGTGACAGAGGAGACTCTGTCTCAAAAAAAAAAAAAAAAAAAGAATAGGAAACACAGTTGGCCCTCCATACCAGCAGGTTCTGTGTGTGGACCTGTGGATACGGAGGGCTGACTATGCTACACCATTTTTTGTTTGTTTGTTTTTTGTTTTTGAGATGAAGTCTCACTCTGTTACCCAGGCTGGAGTGCAGTGATATGATCTTGGCTCATTGCAACTTCCGCCTCCCAGGTTCATGCAATTCTCATGCCTCAGCCTCCCGAGTAGCTGGGACTACAAGTGCGTGCCAGCAAGCCTGGCTATTTTTTGTATTTTTAGAGGAGACCGGATTTTACCATGTTGGCGAGGCTGGTCTCGAACTCCTGACCTCATGTGATCCACCCACCTCGGTCTCCCAAAGTGCTGGGATTACTGGCAGGAGCCATTGTACCCAGCCCTACACCATTTTTTATAAAGAATTTGAGCATCATAGCTTTTGGTATCTGAGGGGCTGTTCTGGAACCAATCCCTTAAAGATGCTGAGGGATAACTGTAATAGGCTTCTGAATGGGGGACAACTGACTGTTTGAAATAGGAACTTTTATTTACATTTTACATCTGCTTTTCAAATACTATCTTTTCAAATAATTCTCCAAGGTCACACAGTTGGTGGGCGGGGGTTGGATCTGCCAGACTGCAGAGTCCGTGTACACGCTCACCTCTGCACTGGCTTGCATTATCTCCAGACACAGGTTGGCCTGCATGTGACCAAGGCTCCACCCAGCCCTGACCTTGGATGACTCTGAGTCTATACATAGCTGCATTTGCGTGTCAGCCTTGCTCCCTGGGCTGAACTGTTTATAGGGTGAAAGGGGACTTTGGGTAAGTCACTTCCCTGTCTTCATGAGGCTCTAGGAAAGCAGGGGCAGGAACTGAGCTAGGCCTCCATGGTCTGCACAGCAACAACCCAGATAAGTTCCAAGAGCTGCAGAGGCTGTCAGAGAAGCTTCAGAGCAGGTCCCTGGGCAAGTCTCCTCCAAAGTGGGAGCTGCAGGGCTGATGCGGATCTAGGCAAGGTGACAGCACAGCTGCAGTCACAGCACAAGTCGATTCCTGTTACTGCCCTAATCCTCCAGCACAGGCAGGAGGAGTTGGGGGTTTGAAGTTTGAAGTTGGAGGAGTTGAACTTTGAAGTTCTCCATGCATTCCTTTGTCGTTCCTTCATAGAGTATTCAGCAAATAACTAAGCACCTAATTGTTCCAGGTCTGGCCCTGGGCCCTGGGCTTACAGCAAGGAACAAAACAACCCAAGTCCCTGCCCTCGTGCCGCTTACATTCCAGTGGGTAACACAATGTTAAGGAGAAGTGAAGTAGAAGAGGAAAGTAGGGAGAGGGGATAGAGTACTAGGGCCAGAGACCTAGAGGTCCAGGAAGGCCTCTCTAAGGAGGAGCATTTGTGCAGAAACCTGGCATTTGAGCTAGCCAGGGAGCTAGCAGTGTGAATGTCTAGGTTGCAGGCAGAGGGAATGGCAAGTTCATAGAACTTAGGGAACATAGGGAAGCAGTGAGTAGGGTGATGCATTAGGGAGACAGGAGAGTGGGAAGAGCCGAGGCTGCATGGGGCCAGACCTTGCCACCTTGCCAGCTATTGAAGAAAGGTAGGGTTTCTTTCTTTCTTTCTCCAGCTCTAAGGTATGTTTCAGGCATCGTTCCTGGCTGACTGGCTCTAAATCTGCAGCCCTCCCAGAGAGCCTTTGATCGACCCAGTATCTTCCTATATCATCCCTTTTATGGCTGAACTAACCACTGTTCGTACAGCTATGAACCCTGCCTAACACAGAGCTTTGGAGGAGGAGGAGCGTGCCAACCAGCTTTATAGGGAAATTAAATATGTTTTTAAGGTTGGAAAAGATGCACTTGGATATTATATTAAAACATTTCAACTTTGGTAGAAAGGGCTCCACCTTGGCCATGGAAAGGGCCTTTGTCATCACTGTTTCCTCCCGTAGGAGCTAGGAGGCTGGGTCGGTCTCCTCCTCACCTGCCAGCCAAGGGCCTAAGCTGGTCACCCCTTGCTTGACCTTCCTGGTCTCACCTGTACAATTCAGTTAGTAGTATTATTCCTGCCTGAAGGGAAAGAGGACGAAAGAAATGATTTATTGAGGGTTATTTCTATGTTGGAGGTCTCTGATGCTGCGAATAATTTCCACAGAAGGTTCCTGGGGGTTGGGACTTTCCCTGAGTTATGTCCGGGCAGGGGAGGGGGGTGATTTATGTTTATTTCATGCACCCTCCCCTCTTTTTTTTTTTTTTTGCTTTCAAAACACTTTTACCTATGTCCTTGATCTCTGTAAAAGGGCTCTGTATGTTATAGTGGTTAAGAGCATGGAAAAACAGATGTGGTACTGAGTGCCAGGTCCACCTTTGCTAACTTTGTCACTTTGGGCTTGTCCCCTAACCAGCCTGCTCCACAGTTTCCTGTTCCCACTGGTCTAAGATACAGAGTGGTGACCCTTGCTCCTGTCAGAGTAGGTTTAAAGACTACACAGGTGGATTTTTCCCAGAAACAATACCACTCAGAATTTTCCTTCAGGCAGCGTAGCACAGGGGAGATGTCCACACACAGTCACACCTGTGTTTGAATCCCGGCTTTGCCTTTTTGCTTGTGGGTGAGTGAGTTGGGAGTGTGCTTGAAAAATTAT